TTATGCACAGTGAAGATCAAACATAACAGTGTAGGAATGAGAAGAAAAGCAAATTTTTGACTGGAGGGGCACATTAAATTTTCACTTGCTAAGTAAGCAATTTCTCAAGTTTTAATAGTGCAACCCAACATAGTCAATAACTGATTTGAAATCAGCTAGTAAAAGGATTGCTTTACACACAACCTTAGGAATGATTTTAGGAAAAACTGGTGCAAAACAATCCAGTTCAGCGATAATGAGAACCAATGTGTAGTCATTCCAGATGGACAAACAGCACTTCCTGGTTCTTAGAAGAATACAACACATGAAATCAGTTGGAAAGAGCCTTATTATTTCCAGCTCACCAGCTATTATTCCACTCACTGCGAGAAATGAGCACAATCAGAGCATGGTGTCCCGAGTCCTGCCTCACTCACATCATTCATCATTTCATAATCTAATTTTTTCTATATATTCTTTGTGTAAATCTCCTGACTGGAAACAGGCGTGAAAGTGTACAACATCAAGAGTCCTCAGACACAATACCAGCCAATCATGGTTGTCCGATCAGATAATCACACAAACAATACAGAACTCCGCAGCGACCTGACAGGCACAAACCCCCACCACCCGAATAAATGTCCTGGCATCTTTGTTTTGTCTCTGCCTTCAAACAATCAGCATTTTCAAATAACCCTCACATCTCCCTCTTTTTTCTTTCAGTTGCACTACAACAACGAGTGCAAGTTCAGGGAGAAGCTCCTTGCCAACAACTACAACGCCTACGAGTCAGTAGCCTACCCGAGGATGTACATCGGACTGAGTAAGAACGGCAAAACAAAAAGAGGAAACCGAGTGTCACCCGCCATGACGGTGACACATTTCTTGCCAAGAATCTAGTGGCCTCATAAATAGACTTCACCTCAATTTGGAGACGGGGAAGTTTGGGTGGGGTGGGGGGGGACTCCACACCATGATGCACTTTCACTCCAAGCTTTATGCAAGTGTATCATATTTGATTTTTTGTTATGTATATTTTTTTTTATTTATGTTTCACAACAGTTTTGTATTTTTTTAGGAGGGGTTGTCTTTTCACCGTGAGCGGGTAAGAGAAAGATACAAGATGTTAAATGTTATTTATGTTTTCATTTTCTAATTTATCCGATATTTGCTGCTACTCAATGAAATCCTGTCTTTAGATGCTGTCTTTGCACTGATGGGAAAATATGCAAATACGCAGCAGTGCACAGGAGACATTTATGACTTTACTATGGTTTTTTTGTATAATTTTTAACAAAAACAGGACCCTTGGGAGTCTTAGCCTGAAAAAAGAAATGAGGCACGGGGGTCTTTGGTGACAGAAGTGGTACTGATTGCTCAACGCTAGCACTCTTTTGTGTGGCACTGGAGCCTAATTGAAACAGTATCATCTTACTGCTAGAGAGAGAGAAAGAGAGAGACAGAGAGAGGTGGGGAGGAAAGAAGGAGGAGCGGAGTGGTCAAAAAAAAAACACAACCTCCACTGGTCTGTTTATAGCTTTGCCAGGGGGGGCGAACTCTGAACTTTTCTGCCGTCAATCTCAGTCAGACCTATAAGACTGCAGATAGAGAGAGGCATCCTCTTTGACATTATATAAGTGGGGAATTTGGGAGTTTAAAGGCATGGTCAAAGCGCTGAGACGCTACAGAGAAACTGTATCCTTGACTGTGGAATAGGACTATTCTTTATTTTATGGACTGGTCTGCCTGCTTGGACAGCAGATATTGTAGTTTGTGCCAAGCTTAATAATTCAGTATATTGGCCAATATTTGCTTGGAAAAGATAAAGATATTTGAACTCAAAGACATTATTGCAACACATTAGTAAAGCATTGAATTTGAATATCTAAAGGTGGCATTAGAAATCAATACATTGTTTTATTTCTTAGGACATTTCTCCAAATATGTGTCTTTCGTTATTGAACTTAAGCCCATCACTGAGTCTAAAACGTGGCCATAACAGATCATTAAATTATATGCCTTAATATACAATTTTAACAGGTTATTTTAAAAATGAATCTGTATCAATTTTTTAGGGGGCGCCACCTCGCTAGATCTTCCCCTGTAGTGAGCTTAAATGAGATGTTGGTAAGCATATTTTTCAAACTGTGCACAGAGCCAGGCTACCTGTTTCCCCCTGTTTCCAGTCATAGTGCTAAGCTAAGCGAACCACCTGTTGGCAGTAGCTACATATTTGGCATGCACATGAGAGTGATATGGATTTAACAGCAAGAAAGCAAAAATAATTTCTCAAAAATTCGAACTAGTCCTTTAATGATCTAGTTGATGATCTAGAGTATCTCTTCCTTCAGATTTTTTATGGGATTTCTCAGGCGATACATCAGTGTCACTCACTAAGTGCATTTCCCCTCCAGACACTTCCTGGTGCAGTGATAAACAATAACACACTCAGGATAAAATAAGCTCACAAATACATTTTGTTGAGGATACAAACTTTGGCACAATTTCCAGTTCTCTGTAGCGTTTCCTCTCTTTTACTAAACCAACAGCCCTCAAGCTTTAACGTCCTACAGCATTAGCTGTCCTAGGCACTAGCTCAGTTTAGTGGCCATATTTCCCAGAATCCTTCTTTCTTTTCCACTGTGTCTCTCTGTTAGTTTCTGCAGTCGACTGCAGCCCAGCTCTGGTAGCCAAGTTGTCCTAGTTGCGCCTTGTCACTTTCCAGCTATCTTTACCCTGTGATTTACTTTTAGAAAGGATAATCATGGAAGAAATATTTACGGACAGCTGTTGGACTGTACTATATACTAGGGCCAGTAACCCTATATTTTTCTTTATATATTTTGTAAATATAACCTCTAAGTAACTGAAGGTGCTGGTATT